TTTTTTTCTCGTCAAAAACAGTGTCATGCCCGAAGGACTCGGCACAACTTGGATACTGAACACTGTTTAATGTGTTTTTGTGCCGAACAGTTGGGTACGACACTGACTTTGACGCAAAAGACACTCAAACTTTTACAATTTTTCCCATCTATTCAGAGTCATACCCAAAGGGTTAATCACAATAATCGCCTTAAAAAGCGTCTCGAAGTTTTACCGAAGCATTCGGAAACGACACTAATTTTGAGGTGAGAAAACACTCGAAATTTTGCGATTTTTATCTTTTGCGATCCAATAGCGTGAATTTAGAGTGGTTTTTCTCATCAAAAACAGTGTCGTGCCAGAAGGGCTCAGCACAACTTCCACATTAAACACTTTTTAATGCGTTTGTTGTGCCGAGCCCATCGGACACGACATACAACACAATACTTGAAACAAACACAATTTTGAAGTTTTTTACTTTTGCCCATCTATTCAGGGTCGTGGACTAAGGCTTCGGCACAACTTCGAAATTAAACACTTTTTAATGTTGAAGTTGTGCCGAGCCCTTCGGGCACAACACTGATTTTTCGGGCAAAAAAAACGCTGTGATCTAAGCGATTTTTCACTTTTTGCTGTTCGTTTGTGCGGAACTCTTCAAAGCGCTTAAAAATTCACATTTTCCAATTCCATTCATTTATTCCAAACAATCCATTGAAGAACCAATTTCAAATTTTTGCCATATTGAGAGCCAAACTCTTGGCTCACTTTTTGGGCAAAACGCCGCTTTTTGTCACCTCGACATTCAACACTATTTAATGCGGTTGTTCTGAAGAGCCTTTCGGGCCCGATACTGATTCTGAGGCGAAAATCACTGAACATTTTGCAGATTTTCACCTTTTCCCATCTATTCAGTGCCGTGCCCGAAGAGCTCGGCACAACTTCAACATTAAACACTTTTTAATACGTTTGTTGTGCCGAGCTCTTAGGTCACGAGACTGATTTTGCAGCAAAAAAACGCAAAAAAATGTTCACTTCCTGCCGTCCAATTGTGTCGAATTCTTCAAAGCGCTTAAAAAGTTCCATCTTCTA